AGTATAGCCGCCTTCCGCTACACCCACAAAAAGTGAGTCCTGCATGCCACTAAAAATTTTAGAAAAACCCTTGTATGTTTGTACGTTAGTAAATCTGTTTGTTGGAAACATGAAACCATGTCAGTAAACATTTTATTTAACCTTCGTCTTCTGACAATCAATAATAATGTGAAAAAAAAAATAAACAAAAAATTGCCGAACAGAGGGATGCTTCCATGTAATACAAGCCCAATGTTATTTGCACTTACATATATATGTATGTATGTTGTCGTAAATACAAAAGAAGTTTAGAAAATTCACTTGAGAGGGGTGTAAAGTACATTTTTTTACAAAGAAGTGGGTAGTTGGTGTCACTTAGAGGTGGTTAAGTGGGAAAAATTGAGAAGTCCAAGGAGAAGAGGTAGAGAGAAGCGTTTTTGGAAAAAGAAAGACGAAGAAACACCGTTATATATAAAAAAAAAATAACGACGAGAGTGTTAAGAGAAATTAAATTAAAAAATTAAATAAAATTTGAGAACTAAAAAAATCAACGTAAAAAATATTAAATTAAAAAAAAATAAAAATTAAAATAGGAATACTAAAAAACCCAAAAAAAAATATCACCAATAAATGTAATAAAAAATTCAGTTAAAAATATATATATTATAAAAAAAAACTCGATGGATCGTCCAAGACCAATGCAGCCCTTGGTATGCTCATCAAATTCAAAATGCTCTACTTTATGCTTAAGGCAGTAGTCCCCTTTAGAACACGAAAAAGTGTTTTTCTAGCAATTCTTTTGGAAAGGAAGAAGTTATTGCGATAAACGAAATGTTCAGAAAATAATGTATAATTTTTAAGCTTCAAAAAACAATTTTTAGTATGTAAAAATATTGGAATTTTCCCATGTTGTGGTGAGTTTTCGGAAGTGGGTGCTGTCTGAACACTTGAAACGGTGCCGGTGACGGAGGTCGTGCACCCCCTGCACCCCAAAGTGTTGAAGACAAGACAGGTTTGTCCATTCCTGGTCGCTCTTTGGAATTGGGCTGGTGTCTATAGGCTCATAAAATTCAATTAACACAAGAACTGAAGCCGGCTCATCATCAACAATACCGTGTCTTTGCTAATTGGGTCCTTGGCATTCATAAAAATTAGCCGAAGTTTTATGAGAAAATCGTCTTGACTGTTGAAGCCCATTTCCACCTCGATGGATGAGTCAATTAGCAAAACTGTCGTATCTGTGGGTCGGAAACCCCAAGATAATTATGTACATACGAGTATATTAAATTTATTACATGTCTTTTATTTAGTTTAAATAATTTCCATTTTTTATTTTTTATTATTAAATTTTTTATATTCTATTTTCATCAAATTCATTCATCATCATTTCATTTCATCTTTATTCATTTCACCATTTCATAATATATAATTTTATTTCAAATATTTAATTTTTTTATAATTATTCAATTTAAATTAATTTAATTAATTTTTTAACTTTATTTTATTTTAATTCAATTAATTTAGTTTAAATTATTTTAATTTATTTCAATTTAGTTTAATTTATTTAATTTTATTTTAATTTATGACATTTATTTTATTTTTTATTTTTTTATTTCATTGTTTATTTTTTATTTTATTTTACATAATTTCATTTAATTTAAGTTAGTTTAATTTAAGTTAACTTATTTTATTTTATTTAATTTAATCTAATTTAATTTAGCATAATGTATTATAATTATATAATTGATTTTTTTAAATTTCATTTTATTTAATTTCTTTTTTTTTAGTTTATTTTTCTTTATTTTTTAATTCTTTTTTATTAAATTTATTTTAATTTAATTAATTTAATTTTTTTATGTTTTTTATTTTATTAAATTCTTTATTTTTATTCCAATTTATGCCGTTATTTATTTATTTTCTTTGAAAACCTTTTAATTTAATTTTATTTCTTTTTTTTAGATTATTTTACTTTATTTTTTTATTCTTTGTTATTAAATTTATTTTAATTTAATTAATTTAATTTTTTTATGTTTTTTATTTTATTAAATTCTTTATTTTTATTCCAATTTATGCCGTTATTTATTTATTTTCTTTGAAAACCTTTTAATTTAATTTTATTTCTTTTTTTTAGATTATTTTACTTTATTTTTTTATTCTTTGTTATTAAATTTATTTTAATTTAATTAATTTAATTTTTTTATGTTTTTTTATTTCTTGAACACTTTTTTATATTATTTATTTTTTTATTTTCATATTCATCTATTTTATGTTATTTATTTATTTACTTTTAAAGCCTTTTACTTTTATTTTATTTCTATTTATATTACTTCATTCGTTTAATTTCTTTAAACCTTTTTTATTTACTTTAATTTATATTATGTTAATTTAATTTAATTTCATATAATATAATTTATTGTAGTTTAATTTAACTAATTCACTCTAGTTTATTTTATTTTTTTTTCTTCTTTTATTATTTTTATTTATCAATTTTTTTAATTTTATTTTTTAATTTTTTTAATTTTTTTTTATTTCATTTTATTTTATTTCATTTTATTTTATTTGATTATTATTTTTTTATTTTATTATTTTATTTTATTATATTTTGCTTATTTTATTTTATTTTATTTTTTTATTTTTAAATTTTTTTAATTCTATCTTATCTAGTTTAATTTAGTTTATACTAATTTGATGAATTTAATCTTTTTTATTTTTTTTTTCATTTCAATTTAATTTATGTTATTCATTTATTTTTAAATCCTTTTAATTTTATTTTATTTCAGTTAATTCACATTATTTTTTTAACTTCTTTAATTTTTTATTTAATTTAATTTAATTTATATTTATATTTATATTTATATTTATATTTATATTTATATTTATATTTATATTTATATTTATATTTATATTTATATTTATATTTATATTTATGTTTATATTTATATTTATATTTTATTTACTTTAATTTATTTACATTTATTTGTATAGTAGTTTATTATTTTATTTTGTTTCTTTTTGATTACAATTTATTTTATGTTAATCATATAATAAAAAATACTTTAAAGATTTTAAAAAGTAAATTTAAAATCTTTAACGTATTTTTTATTTTATTTTTCGCTTTTTTTTAGTTTTTCATCATTTTTTACATAGTATTCAGATGCTACTGTCCAATATTTAGCGCATTTACTCCCAAAAACAATCTTATATATGTATGTATGTATGTACATATGTACATATTTACAAACAAAAGTGAAGTTGTTAAAGTGTTATAATTCAATTATCGTTCCCAAACACGTCTTCCGTCCTCACCTGTCACCCGCGACTCCTATGGAACCACTGCCGCTACCGCTGTTGGCTGCACTTTTGCGTTCTTGACGTTGCACTTTCACTTTACCGACGGCCAGGCGTTGAGTCGATTGTTAAGATATTTTCTTTATTTCTTTCAGCAACTCACTCGTTTGATTAGCGTGTCTAGTGTATGTGAAAATCACTACAGCACAACAACAAGGAGCAACAAATTATTTGTTACGCTTGACGGAGCCTTTGGCTTCAGGAAAAAACAAAATGCAGCTGCAACTTTGTAGTCTTCAATGGTAACTGCAGTTTTGCTGCATGGAATTTTTTCTATTTGTTTTTGTTCGTAAGAGTCTTAACACACAAATACATGCAAGTTTAAGTGCAAAACTTCGGCTTGCACAAACAAACGCTTACGAATGAGGCTTGAACACACACGCACGCGAGTACGTATCGAAAGTTTGTTGGGAGGTGGAGGTGGCGAAATTTTGAAATTAAATTATTTTATTTTGTTGCTGTAGCTGCGGTTGCTTCTTTTGACATACATACGAATAGACACACACACACAAAATCGGAGGATTTTCTAAACGATTTGAAATTGAGAAAATTTCACTGCAATTTTGCGGATTTTAAAAAACACTTAATTTTCGTAAGAAATTTGTATTTCTCCAACTTTTACTTTGCAATTTTGAAAATTTTCTCAAAATTACACAAAACCGCTTTTGCTTGCACTTTTGCACTATTTGCCGTGTCTGTGTGTTGGTTTTTAATGTTGTTGTTGTTTTCGCTTACGAGTATATATTTTGCAATGTACGTTAAATGTTTGTATGCAAGTGTGTATGGCTGAGCTGTATGCGTGTGCGTGTGTATTTTTACTTAATTTGATATTTTTTCTTTAAGTTTTTCAATAAAAGTTTTTTCTTAAATTGTTTTTATAGGAGTTTTGAAGTTGGTTAGTCGCTTTGTTGAGAGTTTATAAGATGTGTGTGTATGCTTGTGCAAATGTATTGTACATTGGTATGTATGTATGTATCTACATATGTGTAACTACTTTTATATACAGTTGTAAGTATGTGACTCTACACTGTTGCTAGTTATAGTTTCTTATTGTTGTTGTTGTAGTTGTTGTTGTTATTATTGTTATTTGTTGTAATTGTTTTTTTGCTGCTGTTAGTGGTGGTTCAAGTGTTTTGTGGTGTTTTATTTTCTTTAACTTTTTTTTTTAGATAATTTTCTTTAATTCCTTATAATTTTCATTACTTTCTTCTTATTTCTTCTTCTTCTCTACAGCTCAATCGCTTAGCTCCTGCATGCACTTGCTGCTGCTGTTGCACTTGCTGGCTTTTTACTTGCACTCGCAACTTTTCTTCGCACTCGTCTGGCGATTTCCTTTCTTGCTCTGTGGCACACCGACGCACACACACACACACACAAGGCTATATTTTTCGCACAAATTTAATTATTAGCGACTTGGCTTTGCGACCGACATACATACATATATGTATGTGTATATTTCGCTTTTTTTTTTGCTCGAAATTGCAAATTCACAATTTTACAACTTTTTTTCTTTTTGACAAATTTTACAGCACAAAAATGAATTAATTTGCTTGCTGTTGATATTGCGTTGGTCGCTCGGTTGGTATGTATTTGGTTTGATTGGTTTTTAGACCCGCTCAGCACCTCCGATTCGCTTCAAAGTACAATTCGTACTAAAAAATTGGCCCCAAAATATGAAAAAGAGAAAATCCATTTCGCCAACACGAACCGGGCGCTTTCAAGTGTACGCATCTGTGTGTGCGTGTGTGTGTGTATGTATCTGTGTGAGGGCAGTGTTGAACGAACGAAAAGCGGCAGCGAGCATAGGCCGCAGCAGCAGCAGTAGCAGTAGCAGCTGCAAACAGGCAGCAGCACGGTGGAGCTATGACAAAACGCTGGTGAGTGTTGGAGCTCGTTGCACGGTGGATGGGTGAGGTGTATTATGATGTTTAATTTTTAATATTTTTTTTTAATTTTATTTAGTAAAATTTTCAATGTTTTGCTTTTAAATAAATTTAAAATATTTTTTTTTCAGTCTGAGATAAAGGATTTTTGCTTAGGGATGGTCCATAAGCCCCGTGGCCGTCGCTCTGTGGAATTGGGCTTGTGTCTACAGGCTTATAAAATTCAATCAACACAAGATGTGAAGCCTGCTCATCATCAACAACGGCTGATTGGCATGCCTAAATATTAGCTGGAGTTTTATGAAGAAATCGTCTTGACGGTAGAAACCCATTTCCACCTTGATGGATGAGTCAATAAGCAAAACTGTCGCATCCGTTGGTCGGAAACCCCAAGATAATTATGTACATACGAGTATATTAAATTTATTACATTTCTTTTATTTAGTTTAAATTATTTCAATTTATTTATTTTTTATTATTAAATTTGTTATATTCTATTTTCATCAATTTCATTCATCATCATTTCATTTCATCTTCATTCATTTCACCATTTCATAATATATAATTTTATTTCAAATATTTAATGTTTGTATAATTATTCAATTTAAATTAAATTAATTAATTTTTTAACTTTATTTTATTTTAATTCATATGATTTAATTGAACTTATTTTAATTTATTTCAATTCAGTTTTATTTATTTAATTTTATTTTATTATTTAATTTGATTTTAATTTATGTCATTTATTTTTTTTTTATTTTTTTTTATTACATTTTCTTATTATTATTTTATTTAACATAATTTAATTTAATTTAAGTTAATTTAATGCAATTTAATTTAATTTATTACAATTATATAATTGATTTTTTTTTAAATTTTATTTTATTTTGTTTCTTGAACGATTTTTTATTTTATTTTTTTTTTTCATTCCAATTTATTTTGTGATATTTATTTATTTACTTTTTAAACCTTTTAATTTAATTTTATTTCTTATTTTAGTTTATTTAACTTTATTTTTTTATTATATCTATTTTTTATTAAATTTATTTTAATTTAATTAATTAAATTTTTTTATGTTTTTTTTTTTTATTTCTTGAACACTTTTTTATTTTATTTATTTCTATATTTTTATTCCAATTTGTGCTATGTTATTTATTTATTTCTTTGAAAACCTTTTTATTTAATCTTATTTCATTTTTAGTTAATTTCTTTATTTTTTAAATCTATTTTATTTAAACTAATATATAGTAATTTAATTACTTTTATTTTTTTATTTCTTTAACTCTTTTTTATTTTATTCATTTTTTTATTTTCATATTAATCTATTTTATGTTATTTATTTATTTACTTTTAAAGCCTTTTACTTTTATTTTATTTCTATTTATATTACTTCATTCATTTAATTTCCTTAAATCTTTTTTATATACTTTAATTTATTTTATATTAATTCAATTTAATTTCAAATAATATAATTTATTGTATTGTAGTTTAATTTAATTAATTCACTATATTTTATTTTATTTTTTTTTTATTGTATTTCGATTTGTCTGAGTCAGACCACATATCAATTACTAGTTGCAGAAGTTTTGTTTAGGAACTGTCCTTAAACCACGCCATTATATTTTAGGCCTTCCGAGACTCATTCCACTCTTTATTTAGCCCAACATGACCTTCACCGTGACTCCACCTCTCAGCTGTTCGACTGGACGGGATTTTATTTCACACTTCTTTCGTATGACCGATGCTTTAGGGGATTTCTTTTGATGCGATAAGGGTAAATAAGGGTAATTTGAAACCATTAAAGACTCGAAAAAGAAAAAAAATTTTATGAAAATCACTTTTCGCATACCTCTACGTCTTATTCACCAGTTTGAGATTCATTTTCAGCGTTGCCACCAACGAGTTATCTATAAAATTGAAATTCCAGCACTGCCTGTCCCCCCGTCGACGGCAGAAAACTCCTTATTATCGGTCTCTTCTTTCCATCTGACATTCCTCTTTGCCATTTTCGCCACAATATTTAATCTTATGGACCTTATCAGTATCTAGTTGCTGGTCCCTCACGGATCGTATAAATCTCTGGATACTTCTTTCCATAGTGTTCTCGATAACGAACATTCAATTCACCGATTTCAAAACAACATTTCAAAACACGCTGCGCTTATCAGCCTCCTTCTTCCAGCTGGCATTCTTATTTGACATCTTCATCGCAATATTTAATCTTATGGACCTGACTAATATCCGGTTAAGTTGCTTAAATTTTTCTTTTACTTCATTACAAATGTCATTCATGAAGTCGATAAGACATCTTCCATACAACTCTTTCTTGTTTTTTTTTGGCCACAAGACAACTACACATCTTTCCTTGAGGATTGGGATCCGACGATCAAGCTAGCCCCTCTATAACCTCAATCATATTCATTCGAAAGCAAACCCTTGATACTAGACCTACATTTTGGGATCATTGTTGTGCTGCGTGCTCTTTTTCAGTCTCACTTCCACTTAACTATGGGACCAGTAGCTTAATGCGAAAGCCATGACCGCTCTTAAGTAGTCGCTCCCCCATAGTTTCGTCTTTTTTTTTTTGATCTTTAGTATAACATTCTCGGACCACACTCAAATTCCTTGCAGCCTCTGCCACAGTGGACATCAATTTTACTTCCATCAGTACGTAAAATGTTTGTCTCGAAGGGGCATGAGAAGTGATCATTTTCAAGCTTGGGACTATTATAAAGGCGGGTTTTCCTTAAAAGTGGCACTTTGCGAGGTTTGCGAATAAAAATTTGGTTGACTCGTACACATATACTGACCGAGGGTGCATTAAACTCATCTCTCACCTTTTTTCCAACAGAAAAAAGGGACGAAATCTATCGCTTGACCCTCACAACTGTGTGGCTCAAACCGGAAGTAGACGCGCAACTTTGGAGGCTGAACTCGAATGACCTACTGGAGGACTTAATGTTTTTTGGAACTGGTTTCCCAAAATTCCTCTACGGTTTTTACTCTACCAAAGTGGAAATTTTCATAGAGAAACCACCAAATATGATCTATAAGACGACATGAATGGCCATCGATGGTCTGCTAAATTTAATTGAGACATGGGTAAGAAAATTAATAAGAATAATTTTTTTTTTTCTTTTTTTATCATTGGCCGACGGATGGGCTCTGTATGTCCTTACTAGGGTACTCTGCATTCAAATGAAATTTAGAATCGAAATGGAGACAGTGATGCAGATGGTGTTACGCACTTGTGATGTACTGTTCTAGATTCGATCGATTTTTTATGTTAGTCCACCCACAGTGCAACAGTGGAATGACACTGCAGAAAACTTGGGAAGGAAATTTAGGTTGCCAAACTGTGTAATTTTGGTCGAACCGAATGTCGATTCACTGTATGTTAAACTACAAAAAAACTAACAGTATTGTAATAATACGATTTCGAAAATAAAGCTAAATAAAATACATTTAAAATATTTGTTTTTATGATATAAAATTCATTTTTTTAATTATAAAGTTTGAGCCTCGGTATTATATAATATGTGGGGCACTACGAGTATATCACTCAATTGACAACCTAGCGATATTTCGCAAACATCGATCCATTTGATGAAAATTTCGACCACTTTTTGACCCATATTGAGCGGTAACTCAGCGATAACTTGACAACATTTGGCAAGAACTTTTTGAAACCACACTCATTGCCCCAGTCGTGCTCTTCAATTGCAGGGCAGAAAAGCACGGCTCCCACGCCTAGAACGCTCCGAAGTGACAAGGACAGTGACACCCTCGCCTTCGTCGTTTCAAAAGAAGTAAGATCCAACTGTACACTCCCGCACCAAAGAGCGCACCTCACAGTAAGTTTTTTTCTGTATTGGCTTCTATTCAATTATTTGAGGACTGAGTTTGCACGCGACTTCGATTGCATGGAATTTTTACATAGTTTTAATGAGATTTATGCCATCAAATCGATCTCAGCTCCGATTCTCGGAACAAAAAATTGTTACCCATTGTAATTTGGTCCTAAAACAACTACACTGAAACTTTATGTAAACCAAATGATTTAAAAATAATTTAGATTTATTAGAATGGTTAAATTTCGTGTTGACTTCCTAGAAAATCGTCTGTTATCGGGTGTCTACGTCATACACACTACACACCTACCAAAGTATGACCGGTTGTGGGTTGATCCGTCAGTTTTTCATGATAAATCCTTTTATATACCACATACAATATAGATTATCAGAGCCCAAATGTGTCCCGCGTGGGATATGTGCCTCATCATTAAAGAAAATTTTGTTCGAAAAATGGCCGCTCACTGCAACCTATCGGTGTACGTCGCTGTGAATGGTCAACTAGCTTCAGTTATTGTGTGAGCAGGACTTTATAGAGATGTAGGCATAAATCCAAGTGCAATACACCGTAATGTTCGGCAAGAAAGACCCAGCTCTTGAAAACGTCGGGAAATAGACACGTTCGGTCTTTGGCCACTTTTTCTCTCAAGGCAGCCATATTTAAGGTGGAATGAACGAAACGTTGATGCACAGACCCTAGAATATCTCTAACCGATCCTGTCTCTTAAAAAGTCTTTAAAATTTTACCAATTGCTTGAGTAGTTGAAAACACGAAACCTGGCCACTTTTGAATCATAACTTTTGTAGTCGGTCTTAGCAATTTTAACAAGTTGTGCGGTTGTTGTACGATCCATTTTCATAAATACCTTACCTTTAGCTTAAACAAAATATATTTTGAATTTGACAGTCGTCAAAATGCAATCCCATTTACAAAATCATCAAAAATATCAATCATACCGCAGCCAACTTCACCTCATAATGCCGAAATCGCAATAGCCGTCGACGAGACAGTTTTGCTTCAAGTGATCGCATAAAAATTACATATACATACATACATACATAATTTGTCATACATATTTACCACGAGCATATGTAGAGAGATAAACGCCGCTGCCGTTTTAGTTTCGGTTGGGTTATTGTGCGAATTTCTATCATTAAGTGTCTAATTCAGAGATACTCAACTAACTAACAAGGCAGTTTCGTTTTCGAAAGAGATTTTGCTTCGTGTCAGCGCCATGTCATCGAAAACAAATGAAATCGTCAATGTTAATTTTAAAGACGCTGCTTGCTGTGATTTAACAGCGCACATGAATTATAGCGTTTAACATCAACTGTTAACGATTTAACATTAACAGAATTTTTTCGTTTCTGTTGAAAACGATAACAGCTTAATGATAGCATTTCCAAATGTTTCAACCGAATCGATTGAAATTTCTCGATTTACATCAAATTTATCGTTCCAAAATTTTTATTTTTATTTTTTGCTTTTTTATCACACTGTGCAAATGCCATCAAGTGCGCTAGGGGGAGGCACGTAGCATATATGTACACTATTCGACTTCGCTGCG